CGTGCTCCTAACAACAAGGTTGCCAGTTCGACTCCTGCATGGGATGGTGAGCTATGCCCACCCGCAGCTAAGATTGAACACGGCACCTTGAGCTGAGCAGCCACGAGCTGCCGACTGGCGGCCACATGGCAACTAGACTTGGAGCTGAGCTAGCCGCGCCCTCCACAACTAAGATTGAAGTACAACAACGTGGCTGTTCCCCTTCCCCAATTCCCCAATAAAATCTTTTTTAAAAAAAAGAAAAAGAAATGAAGTTCCTTCCTCGGCTTGCTGTGGCCTTACTGAGTGTCTTCTCTCTCCACAGAGGGGGGCAAAGATCTGATTGTCAGCAGCCCTGGGGCCCGCATTAACCTGACCTGCCCGGTGGAGAGCACGGAAACCGCGGTTCTCTGGTCGTTCGACAGTCCCTACCCGGTCTTGCCCTACAATGGACTGACTATCTCGGGAAATAAGTTTGTCCTGAAGTCCGTGCTGCCCAACAACGCTGGAAACTATTCGTGCTACCACAAGAGCAAGCTAGTTGCGACTCTGCATCTGCTGGTGGAAGGTGAGTCGCGTCCTCAGAACTTTTGGAAAACAATTCCCTGCCTGGCCACAGGTTTTGGGGGGAAAGGCCCACTGACATCTGCCAGCGAGACTGGTGGAGGTCCCCGCTGGTGCAGCCTCTGGCTGATGGGGACACCGTCCAGCCGGCCTTGTGCAGTGAGGGCTTGAGGTGGATTTGTTAGTCACATCGGGCCAGCAGCGAGGTGGCCTGGGTTTGAATCAACCTCCTGCACGGCTTCAGGTCTCTGCCCCTCGGTCTCCTCTTTGGTAAAATAAGGTTCATTTTATCACCTTAGCTCAGAGTTACTGCAAAGATTAAATAAGTGTGTGTGTGCGCGTGTGTGTACTCGCACATGTACATATGGTATTGAAAACTCTGCACAGCCCCTACGAAGCTCTCAAATGAACTATTTTTATTTTTAGAATTAGCAGGGCCTTGGCTTCCCCACATCTCAGTGCAGACGTCATAGAGCCAGATGTCCCGTGTGCCAGGCCCTACGCCGAGACACTCTCTTCCGTGGTGTCTCATGTCACCCTCCCCATGACCCTGCCTGTGAGGGAAAGCAGTATCAGTATTATGGTTTATCCTCCTCTAATTTTATAGCAGGACACTAAAGAGAAGCTGGGACGTGCCCACGGCCACACGAGCAGGCCCGTGGGGCTCCAAAGCCTCCATTATCTTGGTGCTTCTCTCTCCCACTAGACACGTTAGCCCCCGGGTACCCCCAAGGTCCTTTAATTTCCAGCCACAGTTAGATGTGTGTGTGGCTGTTTGGCCGTGTGTGACGTCCTGGGTCACTGCTCGCTTAGGGGGTGGGGGTGTGGGGGTTGCTGAGCCAAATGCTCCCCTGAGAAGGGAAGTAAGACAGCTCACCTCACCCCTGCTGTGCTGTCCTTCCAGCTCCTCCCGAGGAGCCCAAGCTCACCTGCTTCCGGAACAGCCCCATCAGCAAAGTCAACTGTGAGTGGAGCCCCAGCAGTGCCCCCTCGCCTTCCACCAAGGCCGTGTTATTGGTGACGAAGCTGTAAGTATCCTGGGCTGGGCTGTGTGTTTATGTCCACTTGTTCTTACTGAGGCCCCGGGGAAGTGGGAGCCCAGTGGGACTGGCCAGCCAGCAATTCCACAATTTTATCTTTAGAAAATAATTGCTGTGGGGTAAGGAGGAGGGAAGGAGTGGGGGGTGGGGGAACTGAGGCTTCCATTCGAGGGCCCGCCCGCTGTCACTGTGCTGTGTTATGTGTCCTATTCGCTATCGCAATAGCCACGGGAAGCATATGTTATCTTTGTTCTTTGTCATCGTCAGTCCAGACCTGTAGAGCATTTTTATGAGTTTATCTGAGCCAAACTGAGGACAACTGCTGGGAAGCAAAATCTCAACGGATTGAGAAAACGTTCCCGAGAATGGCAGTTTTACAGCTTATTTCACACGTTAGACTCAAAGGAGGAACCTAATGGGGTGACATGGAATCCATGGGCGGGCGGTAGGTTAGGGAGGCAGGTTAGGGAGGCGGGAGAAGCAAAGGGGGCGTCTCTGGGATTGGATAGAAAGTAAAAGGGAGGGACACGTAGTTCTTTTACATTGTGGGTGCAGGACAGATAATAACATTTACAGGACATGGAGATGGCATGTGGGCCCCAGGATAACAAGGGGGGCTCTGTGGTCTGGTGCTCTGGTGCCTGTGGTTGTGTCCCAATGGAGATGACGCTGACATTTCAAAGGTGTGTTACTTTAGGCGCCCAAAGACAATAGACAATTTCAAAGGTAAAGATTGACCTTTGTCGAGGAAGCTGCAGGCCTAGGATGGGACTACCAGCTGTGACTCGCTTTTGGTTGGGAATTTTTGCATTCAGACCATCCTGGGTGGTTACTCTCGGTCTCTGAGTTTGTAGGGCTCGCCATGCAGGCTCCCCGGAGCTTGTCAGGTTCCGCCTGTGACCCCTTTGTTGTCCACACCTTGAACAGATGGAGAAACTGAGCTTCCGAGAAATTGATGAGCTTGTTTTCAGGTCACCCAGCTAGAGGCCCTGCTGGGAACCCAACCCAGTCTGCCTGATTTCATCCAGAACACAAAGGTTTTGGGTGTTGCTCCAAAGAAGATGCAAATGTCCCTGGCAGGGGACAGGCAGCTTGTGCCTTGAGCTTATCTGGCTCTTTCCATTATAATGGGCTCTTTCCATTATAATGGCAGTGGAGAGGAAGTGGCGATGGGGTGGGAGAGGGAACTGTGGGGGGAGGGAGGCTAGAAGTCAGACCTGTCTGGGGTCCATTGTCACCAGGAGACATTCATAAAGGGGGGGACCTGAAATGAGTTGACGCAGGTGGGAGATGCTGACAATGAACACACCTCTGCAGTTTGGTCTGTCTCCATCCCAGAGCCAAGGGACCCTCAGTCTGGTTGTTTCTATTTGAGTTTGAGCTGTCAATCATCTGCATATCAAAAAACCTGAGCAGTGAGCTCAAAACGGTGAATTGGTCTCCAGGCGGCATCTGCCCTGACCAGCCCATAGCAAGTCTATTCAATTGACAGACACGTCAACTAGAATACTTTGAGTGTTGACAGCCAGAATGATTGAGGACAAGAGATTTCGGCTCATACCCTCCTCCCGCCACAGCCTCGGTATTTCTGGTCTCCTACTGGGCTCTCTCTGCCTTGAACTGTGAGGAAAGTGGGGAGTGGAGCGACTGCCAGAGACCCGGGGACCCCAGAACCCACTCAGGCCCTGGGCGTGCTGGGGGTGAAACAGGGGGTCCCTGGAAAGAGATTTTGTGTGTTCTGCCTTTCTCCCCTGGGTGTGGGTACACTTTCACACCCTCGTCCAACCCCGTGTTTCTTTCCTCAAGTGTTGGGTGAGTTCAGCATCGGCTGGGCTTGGTGCTGTACCAGGGCTGAGGGGGACCCCCCCCAAACAAGACGGGGGGCCTCACAGGGGGACACACCTGTAATCCGGCTGAGGACCCTGCCTTCCCTGAGTTAGGTGGGATGGAAGCCTGCATGGTGTTGGAGGGAGGCGCTAACTCAGACCGGAAGCTGAGGCAGGCCTCCTGGGAGGGGTTGGTCCTGGGCATGGTGTTCAAAGCCAGAGCAGAGGGCAAGTGGCTGCCATGGCCTCACATGCCCACGCCTGTCGTAGTGGGTGAAGTCTCAGGCTTCCAGGCCAGGTGGGACGGTGTCTGACTCACCTCGGATATCTTCAGTCACCCAGACTTCTTTTCTGGGCTCACCGGCCAGAAGTGCTCCCACCTCCTTGTGAACCCCTCCAGTATCCGGAATAGCATCCCTACCGGCCGTCCTGGCCCGGAGGGTCCTGGTGGGACTTCTAGGTGCATTTCTGCCGCCCACACGCTGCCAAGAGCACAGGAGCTGGCAGGAAGCCAGGTGCATCCCAGACCCCATGCCCTGACTGAGTGCCCCTCAACCCCGCTGTGCCAGGCGCTACACTAGAGGTCCGGCACTCGTTTTTCAATTCGTCCTAACAACCCCCTATGAAGTGGGTACTGTTAACATTCCCATTTTCAAATGAGCCAACAGAGGCCCGCAGAAGATAATGTGCTCTAAGTCACAAGGGCTGCTGAGTGTGGAGCCAGGATTCAGCCTGGGGCTCAGACCCCGCTGCCCACCTCCCCCCACACCCCGCTGTGCTGTGCGCAAGGGCAGGAACTGAGAGCCTGGTGCCATTCTGTGTCCTGCAGCCAGAGCCCCCCTGTGAAGAACTACTCCCAGGAGCCGTGCCGGTATTCTCAGGAGTCCAAGAAGTTTTCCTGCCAGTTGAAGGTCCCAGAGGGGGACAACTCTTACTACATAGTGTCCCTGTGTGTCGCCAACCATGTTGGGAGCAAGACCAGCAAACCCCAAGCATTTCAGGGTTACGAAATACGTATGTTAGCTCTCGCAGGCCACCCTCTGTACCTTCCAGCTGCTTCCCTCTTCTTTGATTGCTCACGGGTTTCTGGCAGGGGCAGGACGGGGCTGGGCGAGGGGTTCGGTGAGCTGGGACCTGGGGGGCTTTCTGTGCCAGGGGTCTGATGGGGGTCGTGGAACTGCAGCTGGGGTGGTGTCCTGCTGTTGGGGTTTTGCACAGCCTCCCGGGGTCTTTCCTCAGCAGCATACCTGCTGCCACATAGGAGCTGTGCCCCCTTTCCCCACAGTGCAACCCGATCCGCCCTCCAATATCAAGGTCACCCTCGTGGACAAAAACCCCCACTGGCTCAGTGTCACCTGGCAAGACCCCCCCTCCTGGAACTCCTTTTTCTACAGGCTGCAGTTTGAGCTCCGATATCGGCCTGAAAAGTCAAAGACATTCACAACCTTGTTGGTAAATTCTCCTTTTCCTTCTTGACAGAGCAGTGTGCCTGGACACTCAAGGGTGGTAGGAACGGCACTGGGATGAAAACCATGGGTTTGGGGTCCTGTCCCGCACTCCCTGCATGGCCCTGGGGAAGTCTCTGAGCCTGTCTGAACTCCGGTGCCCTCGTTTATAAGAATAATAATGCCAGCAGCCTCCCCTTCGCAGGCTGTTTGTGAGGGTGACAGTGACCTGGGAGGAGAGTGGGACTATGAGTGTGGCACGGATGTGGTCTGCAGTGTCCTACAGTGCGTGGGGATGGGGCAGTGACTTCCAGCTTCTGCCCATGCTGGCCTAGAGGGCACCCCATCTCACCCTGAGCCCCTGGGGTGGTGTCAGCCTTTGGAGCATCTGTGCCCAGCAGAGTCACCCACCAAACCAGCTGAAGGGCGGGGGGGTATGGACACCCATGTCCCCATGGAGCTGCCTCACTGGGGCCACCCAGAGTCACGGCGCCTCTGCCCTCAGGTCGCGGATCCTCTCCACCACTGGACCATCCACGACGCCCTGAGCGGCACGAAGCACGTGGTGCAGCTTCGGGCCCAGGAGGAGTTTGGGCATGGTCAGTGGAGCCAGTGGAGCCAGGAAGTCACAGGCACCCCCTGGACAGGTACTGCGGGGGGCTTGGGTGGGATGTTTCAGCTTCGTCGCTGTATCAGTTATCTGCTGCTATGTACCCCTGAACCTCCGGGAGGGGGAAGGGGCAGGACATAGCAACCATTTATCTGTTCAAGGTTTTGAAAATCAGTCAGCGAGGCAGCCCTTGTGCTGATTTTGCCTGAGTCACCAATGCAACTGTATCAGGCCTGCATGGTCCAAGGCGGCCTCACTCCCATGAGTGACGGGTAGTGCTGGCAGGTGGCTGTGGCTCTTGGTTCTCCCAGCAGTTTGTCCCGTCCAGGAGGCCAGCCCAGACACAAAGGTGCGGGAAGTCATTTCACAACTTGGTGGGTGGAGTTGCAAAGAGTTTGTTCCTATATTTAATCTACCACAGTTACTAATGTTTTTTTTTATTTTTAGAAAGATGTTCAAGGTAATAATAATCGCCTTTGGGGAACTGTTGAAATTAGCCTGTTTGCTCTGTAATAGAACGTGGAAAATTCCAGAAAAATATGAGGAATAATTATCACTGGGTATTCTTACCACCTAGAGAAAATCAGTGAGAACCTTTTAGCATACCTTTCCTGTTTTTAGGTACGTGCGCGCGCGCCTGTGTGTGTATGTGTGTGTATGATAGATATGATATAAAATATCGTGAGCATTCCCATGTTTTTAAATATTTTTTGGAAATGTATTATTGTTTAGTGACTGCATGGTTAATGTTTTTGTTAACCCATGGGAATTTTTTTTCTCCCATGGGAATTTGTTAAACTTTCCAAATTTTCATCACATTACTACAAGCCCAAGGCCAAGAAGCACAGCAGGTCTTGTAACAGCCAGTGCCGCTTGTCCCACCCCTTCCCATTTGCAGTCCTGCTTTCTAGAGGAAGCTGCTGGACTTTCTGTTTCTATTTCTTCTGTTGGTACTCTCCTAAACTCTGAAAAACAGCCTAAAATGTCTGTTTTTTGGTGTGTTTTTTTTCTGAGAAAACAATGGGAGACGTTTTCTTTTGACTCCTTCCTATGAAAGATTGGGACTGAGCAGACCTAGAGCCAGTGCAGAAATCTAACTACAACCCAGACCATGGTCACCCAGCCTCTGCTTGGATGCTTCCAGGGATGGAGAGCTTACTACCCCTTGTCGCAGCCCACTCCATGGTTCCCAGTATTCTTATTGTAGAATGGCTTCCAGGCTTGTTTCAGTGTCGGATCTCTTTAGCCTAGCAGCAGAAGCAAACCCAATTAGCCGTTCTTTAATACCAGGCAATTTAAAAATAAATGACAATACCCATTTACTGCGTATAGATAAAAAGGAAAAGATAGAAATGACCTCCATTGTCCAGGCCTATCTCTACCCTTGCTCCTCTCTGCCACCCGTGGTCCTGGGGAGAAGGTTTTTATGTGAGTTGCACATTTTTACCCCAGAATGGATGAATAGATGCTGTGATGTGATGGCGTTTCCTCTAACCTGGCTTTGCAGCCTGGGGTCCTTGTCTGTCTGGCCCCAGGGGAGCTAGAGGAGCAGGCTTGGAGCTTAGGACGTCTTTCTGGCTAGATGTACACAATGTCAAGTGCAGGCTCTGGCCTCGGTTGGTGATGGCCCCATCTCCTGTCCATCAAGTGTGGAGGCAGCTTTTTACTGGACCCTCTTCCCAAAAGCTTATTTCTCACTAAGACCTGAATGAGAAGGGACGCCTAACTACTGTATCTCACTTAGAAGACCCTTTCAATAAGTCACAGCATTTCAGGCTAGATCGTGTGACTCGTAGTCGTATGATTTGTATGCACTTTGAGCCACAGCCCACTCACTATCTGAATGCTAAACATTAACATGGCCTTGGGAGCCCTTGCCCGGGGAGAAAATCATTACAGCATTGCGCAGAAGGAACGTTCTGGAAACGGGCTGACACCTCTCTTCCTTTTATCTCAGCTGCTCAAGTTAGATGGTCACAGACAGCCTCAAGAACAGTTAGCGAGTTCTTTCTTAAAAAAAAAATTTCATTGTAGTAAAACATCCGTAACTTAAAATGTACATGGTAACCACTTTTAAGTAGGCGGTTCAGAGGCATGAAGTACCCTGCATTGTTGCGCAACCACCAGCACGGCCCATCTCCAGGGCTCTTTCATCTTGCATAACTGAAACTCTGTCCCCATCAAACACTCAGGCCCCATCCTCCTCCCCCAGCCCCTGGCAACCACCATTCTGCTTTCTGTCCCTGAGAGTTTGACTCCTCTAGGCGCCTCGTGTAAGTGGAATCGTGCAGTATCTGTCTTTTTGTGACTGGCTTATTTTCCTGAACATCATGTCTTCAAAGTTCATTCATGTTGTAGCCAGTGTCAGAAATTCCCCCCCCTTTTTTTTATTTATTGGGGAACAGTGTGTTTTTATAGGACCCATCAGCTCCAAATCAAATAGTTGTTTTCAATCTAGTCGTGGAGGGCGCATCTCAGTGGCCCATGTGGGGATCGAACCGGCAACCTTGGTGTTGTGAGCACTGTGCTCTAACCACCTGAGCTAACCGGCCGCCCCGTGAAATTCCTCCCTTTTTAAGGCTGAATGATATTCCATTGTGTGTATAGGCCACATTTTGTTCATCTGTTCCCCTGTGGATGGACACCTGGGTTGCTGCCACCATTTGGCTATTGCTATGAACAGGGGTGTGCAAATATGTGTTCGGGTCCCTCCTTTCAATTCTTTTGAGTATGTACCCAGAAGGGGAATTGCTACATCATATGGTCATTCTATGTTTAATTTTTTGAGGAACCGCCATGCTGTTTTCCAAGTGGCTGCATCATTTTCCGTTCCTATTGGCAATACACAGGGTTCCAATTCCTTCATATCCCACCCAACATTGTTATTTTCTTTTCTTTCTTTTCTTTCTTTCTTCTTTCCTTCCTTCCTTCCTTTCTTTCTTTTTTTTTTTTGATAACAGCCATCCTGATGAGTGTGGTGTTGTGGTTTGGATTCGCATTTGCATAATGATTAGTGATGTCGAACATCTTTTCCTGTGCGTATTGGCCATTTGTATATCTTCTTTGGAGAAATTTCTGTGTTAAATAGAAAGTTTTTTCTTATGTGAATCCACTCTGGCCTCACTGGGCCGTGCTCTCTGGGTTAACCCATGACAAGTCCGCTAGTCTGCGCTCTCTGAATTCTGGAACATTCCCAGAGGACCTGCACCTGCCTGGGTTTCTTTTCTTTCCCAGACTGTTTATGGGGGTGGCTTGTGGGTTCCTCACCTGTCTGGTCACCTTCTCCTGAATGTGGCCTCATTGGTGGATGTTCCTCTTTAAATTGTTGTCCTCCCCACAGTGGGACATGGTGTAGCAGGAGGGGCTCCGTCTCCGACTTTTCAGCCCTGGGTCACTGTGCTTCTGTGACTTGCTAGAGTGACCATGTGAGCTCAGACCAAACACTTGGCTTCTTCTCACAGAAGCTGCTAAAGAGTTTGAGCTCCCCATCCTGTAATGTGTGGTTTTTGGGGGGGGGTGTCTTCAAAATGGCAGTGGTGAATATATCCAAGAGAGAACCAGCTGCTACCCTCTCCCCTGAGGTCAGAGCAAGAGAAACTTGGATGACCCTGATACAAGAAGGATTAGGTTGGAAATTGGGGATCGCTTCCGGAAAATGAGAGGGAGGGTAGAATACAAGGTTAGGTGGTTTCACTGACTGGAGTTATCTGGCTGTTCGGGACATGTGTGTGCACTCAGTACAGCATCAGTGGGCCTCCTGACCCCAAGGACCTCCAGATCTCGAAGCCCAGACAGACAGGCTGTCCCTCCCTCTCAGCCTAGGTGTGGGGGTGGTGACACAGAGGTCATGGAAATACACTGGGCCTGGGAATCAGCTTATATGACCTTGGCCAAGTTGGCTTACCTTCCAGAGCCTCAATCTTGCCATCTGTAAAGTAGACATGACATGACTTATGTTATCCCCTTCGGAGAGTTTTCATGAGTCCAGTGAAAAAACATTCTTTAGAAAAAATAACCCGTACTGCAGATGTAGGGGATTAGCAATTACAGTGTCGTGTTGGTTGGTGCTTGGGGTGAAGAGGGTGGGGGTGTGGGCATCCCAGCCCTGGGTACCATGACCCTGGGTCCACTGAATTGGAAGTGAGGGGGATGTGGAGTGGGTATTTTGAGGGCGCTTTCCCAGTGGTTACAGTACATGCTAGGGGCTGGCTGGGGGGCATCTCATTGTATCATAGTGTGATAAGGCTGTGGAACAGACAGTTCTTGGGCAGTTTAGGGAGAGCAGGGAAGCGTCTTGGAGGAGACGACATTTGAGTTGTGCCTTGGCTGTGTAAGAGAGTTCCAGGTAGAATGAGGATTATAGGCAGAGGGAACAGCAGGTGCCAAGGCATGGACTGTGAACAAGGGGAGGCCGGAGCACAGGTGTGTGTGTGGGAGGTCCGAGTGGGACAGGCCTTGGAAGGGGCTCTTGGGGACCTTGGAAGGCCTGCATGAGAGTGAGGGTAGATACAGGATGGCGGGTAGAGGGATGGGGACTTCAGCGGGTGCTGCGCCTTTAGGCTGGGGCCTTGTCACACACAGGTTGTGGTCTCAGCTGTGTTCCCTGTATGAGGGTGGGGCCCTGAGTCACACGTCTGGGGGTCCGTGCTGGCCAACAAGGCCAGGTCACTGCTGACAGCCCCCGCCGCAGTGACTCATTGAGACTGTGGCCACCGATGTCAGGGCAGAAAAAAGCTGGTCAGCAGCCCTCTCCAGGGTGGGAGTTCTCCCAAATTTATCCTGACAGTATGGACAGGGCTGGCATCAAGCAAGTCTGAGGTCCCCAAGAGCCCCTTCGCAAAGCGAGCTTGAGGCAAAGTGCCTGGGAAAAGCCCATCGGGCATCAGAGGGTTATTTCTTCTTTTTTTTTTTTAAAGATTTTTATTGGGGAATTGGGGGGATGGGAACAGCGCTGGGGAATCGGGGAAAGGGAACAGACAAGTTGCTGTTGTTTTGTTCTTCAGTCTAGTTGTGGAGGACGTTGCTTCACTGGCCCAAGTTGGCACCATCATTGCGCTCTTCCCGGGAGAGGCAGATCAGTCGCCGGCTGCTGGCCGCTCACGGTGGCTGCTGGCCGCTCACGCTGCTGGCTACACACGGTAGCCCATGGCAATCCACTGCAGCAGGGGCTGCAGCCTACGCCGTCGCCGGCGACTCACAGCAGCCCAGCTCCAGGTTGAGCTGTTGTTCAGCATCTTAGCTGTGGAGGGCAGTGTCACTGGCCCTCACATGTGGGATCCGAACCGGGGCCCTCTGGCGTCCCAAGCCAGTTCTTAACCATCGCGCCACTCGGCCGGCCCAAGAGGGTTATTTCTTGGTCGTCCAAATCCCTTTCGCTCCGTCTCATACCCTGCTCACCTCTGCCCAGAAAATAATTAGGACCACGAGTGACAGGTAGCAAGCAGAACAGACCCATTCTTGGGAATCATGCTGGTCGGAAGAGGTGCTAAAGGTTTGCATTTGCAAGGCCTTAGGGGTGCTGGGGGACCCTTCAAGCAGGTGGGTCTCCCTGGCCTGGATCCCTGCAGCTACATGTTGTCATCTCAAACCCCCTGGCCACCCCATTCTGGGGGAGTTCATTTTACAACACCCCCTCCTTATCGACTCCTGTCTCTGGTGTGCAAGCACGGTCGCCCACACCGTTGCTACTGGCATCTTTCTAAATCTCTGCCAGCCTGTCCGTCACTCCCCAGCCTACAGCCACACCCCCCTTCACTCTCCAGCTCACAGCCACCTCCCTTTACTTTCGAGGTGAAGTTCAAACTCCTAAGCTTGTGCAGAGGCCCTTCTTGGCTGCCTGCTCACCTGGCCCTGGTGCCTGGCCCTCCCTCACTTACCACGTCCCCTCCAGCTGGACTGAACTTGGCCCAGCACCTCCGCACGCGTGTCCTTCAGCCCTCAGGCCGTGCCCTCCGTCCAGCTCATCTCCGTGTCACCTCCTCTCACCTCCTGGCTGTCCACCCAACCTCTCTGCATAGCTCAGAGACCCCTAGACTGTGGGATTCCACAGGTCTGTAAAATTTCACAAAGAGTTTTGGGGACCAAATAAGGTCGCCAACGTTTAATTTCGCTCCGTAAGGACGTAACATGAAACAACTCAGTAAAAAGTAACTATTGCTATTTACCATCACTATTAATTATTTCACAAAAGAGAGGCGGAAGCCAGGGCAGACGCTCAGAACGAAAGACAGTTTGGCAACCTCACACCACACAGCTATCCACGCTGCCCTGCCTCAAACCCATGCCCCGTCTGATGGGACCCAGCTGGAGGTGAGCTCTGTCTCCCCAGGACACTGTCAGCTGCTCATTGAGGTTTCTTGGTGTTTTGGGTTTTTTTTTTTGTTTTTGGCTCCAATGGAGGAAGAGTGATTCACTTTCTTTTTAGTGGCTTACAGGCTGTGAAGGGAGGTGTGAAGTGAGGGAGAGAGCAAGCTAAGAACAAGAACCCTGACTGGCACCCAGCTTGTGGGTCCCCCTGTCTGACCTCCCCTGACTTCCTGTGAGTGTCTGGCTTTGTGGTTCACCCCTCTCTCCTTGCTTCCTCCTGGCTCTGTTTTTTCTTTCTTTTTCCTCTCAATTCTCAGTCCACTCCTATTTTCCCTCTCTGTACTCCAATCCCTGAGCCCCGCCCAGTAGCCCGTATCTTAATTGGTCCTAATACACAATTTAAAACTTTTATTTATTTATTTTTTTAGAAAAATATTTTATGTTCTCTGGTCTTCCTCCACCCCCACCCCAGTTTTATTGCTATAATTGACATGTGACATTGTAGCTGTTTAGGTGTACAACATTATTTGATATTTGTATGTATTGTGAAATGGTCATAACAGTAAGTTTAATTAACACCTATTGCTACTCATGTTACACGTTGTTTTTCTTGTGGTGAGAACTTGCAAGATCTACTACTCTCTTCGCAACTCTCCAATATACAATACGATATCATTGACTATAGTCACCATGTTGTACACTACCAGGTAGGTATGTTCTCTGTTCTTAATCTTGAGAGTTGCGTCAATTGTCTTTTTTTTTTTTTAAACTTTCTTGGGGAACAGTGTGTTTTTCCAGGACCCATCAGTTCCAAGTCAAGTCGTTGTCTTCAATCTAGTTGTGGAGGGTGCAGCTCACTGGCCCATGTGGGTTTCGAACCAGCAAGCACTGCACTATAACCCACTGAGCCACCCGGCACCCCTGGGGGGGGGGCTTTTAAAAACCCTGATGTGGGCCGGCCGAGTGGCGCGATGGTTGAGAGCTCGCTTGGGATGCCGGAGGGCCCCGGTTCGGATCCCGCATGTGAGGGCCAGTGACACTGCCCTCTACAGCTGGGGTGCTGAGCGGCAGCTCAGCCTGGAGCTGGGCTGCCGGTGAGTCGCCGGCGACGGCGTAGGCTGCAGCCCCTGTGGCAGTGGGTTGCCATGGGCTACCGTGTGTAGCCAGCAGCCAGCGTGAGCGGCCAGCAGCCAGCGTGAGCGGCCAGCAGCCGCAGTGAGCGGCCGTCCAGAAGCCGGCGACTGATCTGCCTCGCCCGGGAAGAGCGCGATGATGGTGCCAACTTGGGCCAGTGGAGCAACGTCCTCCACAACTAGACTGAGGAGCGGAGCGACAGCGACTTGTCTGTTCCCTTTCCCCAATTCCCCAGCGCTGTTCCCATCCCCCCAATTCCCCAATAAAAATCTTTAAAAAAACAAAACAAAACAAAAAAACAACAACCCTGATGTCTGGGTCCCATCCCCAAGATTCTGAATGAGGCCATAGGTCAAAGATGGGAGGTCAAAGATGGGACCTAAATGACGCCGAGCAGGGCTGGGTTTGGGAACCACTGGACTGAATGACCTTCCAAGGTCAGCCATATTTTCTTTCTTTTTTTTTAAAGCTGAGCCATCCTGCTACCTGTTGGCAGCTCAGCGGCTACTCAGCTCAGGCTGGACTCGAACTGCTGTTGCTCAGAGCTCAAACTCTTGAGCGAGCTCTTAACCAACTGAGCCACTCGGCCGGCCCAGCCATATTTTCTATGTAGTGCTGCCCCGTTTCCTGGTTTTAGCTTTCATTCTAGTCCCACACACCCTCTGTTCACCCTTAAGTCATCTGCTCTGAGTCGAAATGTCCTCTGGTAGGCTCGGCTGGGAGGAACACAGAGGAATACGAGACAGGCCCCTCCCCTTGATTCTAAGATGATTTGGTGCTAACTTGCTGTGTGACCTTGGACAAGTTGCTCTCCCTCTCTGGGCCTCTGTGTGTTCTCTGTATGATCGGGAGGGAGACTGAACAAGCTCTCATGTCCCCATAAGTGCTGCCAGTGTGTGGTGTTCCCCGCTTCTGAGGATGGCATGTTCCTGCTGGAAATTCTGTCCTGAACAGAAAAGCAGGGTCACCCTCTCCTCCGCCCATTGCTGGCTATTCTCCTCCTGGTTCAGGAAGGCTTGACAGCTCTGGTATTTTTAAGTTCTTGATGGAAAACTGATGAACTTTTCAGAAAATATTTTAAAATCCAGAGCATGGCCTGTCACAGTTTGGCTCCCGGTCCCTTGGGCCTGTGTTTGCCGCTATGCCTGGCCTCGTGTCAATACTCTTACTTTGATACTTGGCCTTCTGCCTTGGGGGTTTCTGTAGACACACTGTTCCCAGGGAGGGGGGGCCTGGGGAGGTTGCCCGGTCCATGTCCCTTCTCGGTCAGCACGTACTAAGCCCACCCAGACAGATAAAAACTCGTTTATGTGAAATGCTTTTTATTGCAAAAAAGGTGCATAGAAGGAAATTACATTTTTTTAATGTTCATTATTTTTCATTTAATTACATTTTTCCCCAGTTTTATTGAGAAGTCGGGCATATGGCTCGATGGTTTGATTTACCTATATTGTGAAACGATTACGATAGGTTCAGCTAATGTCCATCTTATATAGAAATAATAAAAAGAAACAGGAAAAGAAAAAACGAAAAAACTGTTCCCCTTGCGATGAGAACTCTTAGGATTTATTCTCTTAACAACGTTCCTGTATATGACACAGCAGGGGCAGCTACAGCCATCATAATTAAAATGTCAGGAGTGCTCACACCCGATGATATGTATCCTTCCAGTTTTTTCTTCCTGAGTGTGACTGTGTATCATGGTATATAAGGTGACATACAATAAACAATGATATAAATATGTTTCCCTAGACACTTTGGATCCAGCCATATGAACTTTTTCTTGCCTTGCATTTTTTCATTTGACGTGACAGCATGTCCTCCACATTTTTCTAAAATACTCTTAGAGGCTACTGCAATATATGTCTGTATCATAACTGATGCAGCTCCTCCCTTATGGGGTTGGCTATTTGGTTATTGTCAACATCACGCTCTTTTGGATAACATTGTGACGAACTCTATCCTGTGTCTGTAGCCCATCAGACAGGACTTGGGGTCCATGAACCATTAACAAGGACACTTCTTCTCTCCCCAGAATCCAGCAGTCCTCCAGCTGAGACCACGGTGGAGGTGTTCCCCACTGTGCAGGTGAACGCTTGTTCTTGTAAAAAGGTCAGGGCAGTAGCACCTAGTGGTTAGCGTTGTGGGCTGGCACCGGACAGACTTTGGTTCAAACCCCAGCTCTGCCACGTTACAGGTCCTTTTTTTAAGCTTCTGCCAGATGGGGTGATAGCGTTGTCTTGGCCCAAGTCTGTGGCCCTGTGGAGTCTGGAGCCGCGCTGGCCTGCCTTGCAGAGCCGCCCCCTGTCTAGTGGTTGCTCTTTCTTCTCTGAGCTTCAGGACACCGCTAACTGGCTTAGCGTGCGACTCAGATTCAGTTCCTCTGAGCCCTTTGCTGTGGACTCCTGGTGTCATAACGATCTGGAAAGAGGATTACCTCTGAAACTGCTTAACAAATCCTTGAGTAATCTGATTTCCCACCCAATGGGCATCCTTGTTCCCAAAGGCTAAGCTGGGAGCTCAGCGGCTCCAGGAGCTGGACTACCCCGGGAGCACCCCTGGGTCCTGCCCTGGACCCACAGTCCATGCCGGACTCTCTGGGATGGCGGGAACACATCCAGGGTGAAGTCCAGGCCCGTGGGGCCAGAGAGCCCCAACACAGGGCGTAGGGGACCTGGTGCTGACTGAGAACCTGCCAAGGTGAGCTAGGCTCTGCGCCGTGCACATGCTGTCTCATTTGATCCTTACATGGACTGAGATTCAGGGTGCCTGACGAGAGGGGAAACTGACAGCCACATGGGCTACGAAGTCCGCCCAAGGTCACAGAGCTAGTCTTGGTGGCTCCAGGACTTTAGTCTGTGCTTTCCCCAGGAAGCGGTGGCCCCTGCGCCCTGGCCCCAGATCCAGGACCACCGGGGAAGGTGCCACGCTCTGATGCTTCTGGTGGAGAGGCAGGTGGGAAGGAACGGGCAAGCTGTAGGTACACATGATGCAGATACTAGTGCAAGAGTTGAGAGTGACAGGTCGGGACTGGAGGGGCACAGGAGAGAGAAAAAGGAATGCTTGGGGGGCGTCAGGAAGGGGCTGGAAGGGGCACTTGAGCTGCCTCCTGAAGGTGGTGACATCTGCAGAATCGGGCTTACAGTGACAAATGTCTTTTTTAGGCACTTAATACAAATGAAGCCTATGAAAGCCCTCTCTTTAATGAATCTACAAATGCAACAAGCATCCCAGGTAAGCGCTGGATAGTTCTGTATTCCTGGGGCCTAAGGGGCACAGAAGCTTGTCTCCCCAGAAAGTCCTTTTGTATTTGGGAATATTGGCAGAGGGCTGGTCTGCTTAATGGAAAGGGCCAATGGCAGAAATATCTGTTTATTACCTCATCATCCCAGTTTGGTGGTGTTAGCTAAGATGTAACGAGGGGGCGCCTCTGAAGGATGAGACAAATCGGCGAACTATTTCACAGTTGGCCCAGGGCACCAATGAATGTGCTACAAACAAAACGATTGGAGTTGGAAATGGGACGCACGTGGAGGGAAATCTTGGTTTGGGGAGCTTTGGATTTCAGGGTTCCTGACTCCCTATACCTGGCAAGGAAAACTCAGCAACATTTTCACCGAACAAGCCCACAGGCCCTGTGTTTGTCTTGCTATGTGTGTGAGACTTGCGGGGTCCAGGGCCCCAAGGTGCAGTCATGAGCAGCTCCATCTGATGGCCGGCTGGCGGGCTTTCTGAGGAAGCCTCTGGCCTCATTACCTGGGCGGAGTTCTGCCCGCATCTGGTGCTGGCTGCCCGAGCTGTGCCATCCGGCTGCAAAGCCCTCCCTCATGCAGCGCACCGAGGGAAGACCTGCTAGGTTCCTGGGGCCAAGCTTAGCTCTGCTGGGGACTCAGGGAATTGAGCCACCCCCGTTCCCCAGGGGTCTGCAGTCCCCTGGCCAGGCGCTGACAAGGTAAAGGAGTAACTGTAACACAGAGCAGAGTGTGAGACCAGCCAAGGGGGGAGGCCTCGCTAAAGCACGTGGGCTGTCGAGACTCAAGAGAGCATGTCCAGCTGGGGGAGTCACAGAAAGTTCCAGGTGGAGGTGCCATTTGTAATGAACCTTGAATGATGTGGATGGGATGGCGGGAGGTTGGGGCAGCAGTGCCTGGGTGACTGTGGAGAAGGGGACCCCAAGCCTTCTCCAGCCACTCCCATCCAGCCCCGTGTCCTTCAAGGGCGTCTATGGGCTGATGACTCCCAGAGTTATGCCTCCACCCCTGACCTTCCCACTGAGACCCAGACTCACGCACCCACTGCCTAGCTGACATGTCCACTTGGATACCTCCTAGAAATCCGACTGATCACTGAAGCGCTTGATGCCTCCCTGGTTTTGCTTAGATGTACCCTCTGGCTGGTCCTGGGTCTCTCTCTGGCAACCGTAGGAAGGACCCCTCTGCAAAGGGACATGGCTGCTTGGCAAGCTAGTTTGTTCTTTCGTTCATTCAAAGAGATATGTTGGTGAGCTTGCTTTGTGCTAGCCACCGCGTGAGCAGCCGGGAGTAACAGTGAAAAACACACATGTGGTCCCTGCTTTGAGGAGGCTCGGACTAGAGGTGGAGCTGGACAAGTAACCAGGAGGGCACTTACCCAGCTTGGAGTAGGAGTCACAGCTCAAAAGAAGTGACCTCGCCTCTGCCGAGACCCAAAGGCCAAGTAGGGACTGGACAGAAAAGGGGTGCAGCAAAGTGTTCAGGGGGAGGTGGCAGAATGTGTGTGCTGAGCCCCAGGAGGAGAGAGCTTGGCATGTGAAAGAACCAGTCGAGGTCACATGGCGGGAGCTTGAGGACCAAGTGGGGAGACAGGCAAGAAATGACACTCCAATGGAGAACACTGCACCCAAATACTTGACTTATACTTCCTGAGCACCCCTGACATCAATGAGGTCCCCAAAGCCTTCTGCTTTTTGCCCACTTTGTGCCTGGTGGGGGCAGGCTGAACGCCACTAGAAAAGCCGCTCTGAAACTGAGTGGGCGTCTGTGGCTGGCCGCAGGCGCTCAGAAGCTGGGAGTCTGAGGTGTATCTCTTGCCAAGTGGCAGAATCCGGGGTCTGTCACATGAGGCCGGGGGTGACTCTTTTAGAGGTGGCTTTGGCCAGGAAACTGGTAAGCGTGTCCAGTGGCTTGCTGGTTAGCAGAGCTGTTTCCTCTCCAGGGGTGAGGTTCCTTTGAGGCTTTATTTTAAAATATTTTTGGGGGGAATTGGGGGAGGGGGACAGTGTTAGGGAATTGGGGAAGGGGACCAGCCAAGTTGTTCTTCAATCTTCATTGTGGAGGGCGCCAGTCGCCATCTGGCTGCCCGTCGGCAGCTCGTGGCCTCTATGCTCAAGGTGCTGTGTTCAATCTTAGTTGCGGGTGGGCGTAGCCACCATCCCACGCGGGAGTCGAACCAGCAGCCTTATTGTTAAGAGCACATGCTCTATCCACTGAGCCATCCAAGCGGCAGCTCAGCTCAAGGTGCCGAGTTCAGTCTTAGTTGCGGGTGGGCCATGGAACAGGCAATCTTATTGTTACACCAACTGAGCCATCTTGCCACCTGTTGGCAGCTCAGTGACAGCTCAGCTCGGACACAGCATCACACTGGCCCATGTGGGAATCGAACCGGTGGCCCTGTTGCTCAGAGCTCACGCTCTTAAGCCCACTCTTAACCAACTGAGCCACTCGGCCGGCCCCTCCTTTGAGGCTTTTAACAGCACCAGCCGAGTGGTTCTCTCCTCTTCCTTTTGCTACTCCTCCTGTTTTATTTTTTTTCTAGTGTCAGCTCCTTCCCTGGTACCACTGTACACCTTCCTGGTGGCTGGAGGAAGCCTGGCTTTTGGAACGTCCCTCTGTGTTGGCATCATCCTGAGGTGAGATGGGTCCTGCGGAGCGGGGGGCGGGGCGGGGGGTAGGCCCTGTGCTGTGCTGTTGTCACATTTCTGACCGAGCTAACGTTGCCTGGGCTAGGATGGTGGCGATGGGTTGGAGAGCCATAAATGATTCAAGATAGGTTTTCGAGGTAGAATTGACAAGATTTGATGGCAGGTTAGATGAGGAGAAGGAAGGATAGGGAGGAATCCAGGCTGACCCTCAAGCTTCTGGCTTTGGCAGCTGGGCAGAAGGTGGTGTCACTAACTAAAGCTGGGGACACTGGAGGAAGAACCGCCGAGTGGAAGACGACGGTTCTACTTTGGGGCCGCTGAGTCTGAGGTGCCTGTGAAAACCCCATGTGGACACCTTTGGTAGACAGTTCTGATTGTTGCTGCCTGTAGGTGGTAGCTGGAGCCTGGCAGAAGACAGGGATAAGGCCCGTGACAGTACCCTGTGGAATTCCAGGGTCCCAACACCGAAAAGTGGGGTAGAGGGGGAAGAGAAGGAGAGGAAGGGGCGAGGAGTGGCCTGAGAGGGAGGAGGAGAACCAGGAAAACCCGGCTGTGAAAACCAAGGGGAGAGGGTATGAGAGACACTGAAGGAACACCTCATGTTCTGGGATTGCCGCATGACGTGACCTTGCTTCGCCTCCAAGAGCCACAAGCTACAGTGACTGAAGGGCCATGTGAGAAGCACCAGGATGTGCACAGGTAGCCCTGAGGTGCCCGGCCAGACATCCTCGGGAATATTCCATGTCTCAAAACAAGCAGCCGTAGTGGGCCACCTTCAAATGTTCTGTCCGGTGCTCTCCTCCGGCCATGGTTGGGAAACACCTGGGCTGAGTTGGCGCCCTGGCAGCTGTAGCTTCACACCCCTTCCCTCCCAGGCTCTCTCCTTCTCTCTCTCTCTCTCAGTCTCCATTTGGTCACTGGTTTTTGTCATTCACTCCCAAGCTTGCAGAAAAACCAGCCAACAGTGCTCCCAATGAACGGGCAATAAGGAAACTTGCAGCGTTTATGATTTTACTGCAGGAACTTGTACTTATGCATGTGCTGAGGCCCTAAAAGGAGCCAGGCTGGACCCCGACTTTGGTTGGTGGTTAATTACAACGGTAACACACTGGAGGGACATCACTCTGTCCTTTCTTTCTCTTACCTTGTGTGTAACTTTCAAGAGACTCTCGTTGGCGGTTGTGAGAGGTGGTGTTGGAGGGTGTTTGGAGAGGCAGGGTAAGACCTTGGCAGAAAGCTTTCCACAGGTTAGCTCAGTGAGTTCTCACAGTGACCCTGAGAGAGCCTGACCCCAAGGTGGTCAGGGTTGGAGGATTAGCAAGGTGACAACGCAGCTGTGTTCAGGGCTATTGCCACTTTGATTTCCCAGCGAAGTAGTGAGCGAGTGTCCAAAGGGTGTGCAGAAGGTAAGGTTCCTAGCGAGTGGACAAAGTTCCTTGGAGAAGCTGAGAACTCACTGTCTTTTTTACCTTTGGGCCAGAGAGGCCCTATGCCAGCATTCAGTGGTCTTCCTCCTGCCTTCTAAGGGATTGCTTGCCTCACCTCGGGCACATACCTCTGTGTCCTATTTCTAGTTCTACATCATTAGGGCTTCGACGGGCCTTTCTCCTAACCTACCACGGACCCCACAGAGTAAATATTTTGATTTCCACTTAACAGATGAGGAGACAAAAGCTGAAAGGGGTGGAGTGATCATAGCTAGTCATGGTAAGGCCGAGGTGCAAACTCAGAGCTCACGCCCTTTGGTACGGCCTTACAGGTCATTTAGTCAAACTCTTTACTTTTACAAATGAGGACACAGCCCTGAGAGCTAAGATGACTCGCCCAAGGACACACGGTTTGTTATTAGCAGAGCCAGGACTGGAACCGATGCCCTGCGAGCCCCAGCCCACCATGCTAGCCTGCTGTCAGCTACGGAGCAGGTCCAGTTGGTCCTATCAGCCCACCACTGGCCAATGGCACCGTTTACAAGCGCTGCCATCTTGGTGGGCTGTGAACCACTAGCAGAGAAGCGTCAGGTTGGGAACAGGCCACAACGTTCCTGGTTTGCTGATGTGACACTGGCTGAGTCAGAGTCCCTTGAGGCTCCGTGCCCTGTGTGGAGAACATATCGGGAATTTATTTCCTAGCCTTGTGAATTTCCATTCTCTCCCGTATAAGGCAACTTTGTTTGGGAAGAGGCCAGTTCTTTCAAGTGATGAAAAACCCCTCTATTCCCAAAGTCCCTCATGTCAAGAAAAGAGTAGGAACTCAGGGGCCCTGTTGGAGTCTGGGAGTATCGTAGTGACTGAAGCGCAGTGACTGTCAGGATGACCACGTACATGACAACAGGCCAGTGTGAAAGGCAGTTTCAAGTACACCCTTCCAGTCCACGACACCATGTTTTTCTTTTTAACACATCCATTTGGTGTTTCATGCAAAGCATAGTATTGCCCTCAATATTTTTCCACCGGTGTTGCTGATAATTGGTAAACATTTAAGTGTGCCATTGAAAAGAGCATACAACCGGCTTAATGGACGTCACGACTTACAGGGGCTAATTGTTCCCACTCTACTCCCTGGACCCTTTATTTTATGCTCCCCTGTCCTGGGAAAATAGGATTCTCATAGCAGAGGATGACTCCTGTGCACACTTATCTGGAATGGACTGACACTGTTAGGTGAGGACGTCCTGTGTGTACGTGCCAATGATTTCAGTCATTTTGTATCGACTATAGTGTCGCATGCCACTAGTTTAAAATCACACACTCTCCCACTTTCACAGTGGAGGCCAGGGGGACTTTCACGGCATCCTGGGCAGTGGGTACCCACGTGGCCCTGGGGGTGGGGAATTACTTCCTCTCCCTAGGTCTTGGTTTCTACATCTTATTTTCTAAAAAGAATGAGGGTTATTGTGCATGTTTTTAAAATTTTCTTTCAGCAGTAGATGCTGTTCTTTAAATAAACCTTCTGAGGCCCGTAGTATGTGCAAACTCGATCAAAGGTAGAGGCTGAGGTACAAATGAAGTCTGGTGGCTTGGCTGTTGTTCCTTCCACCTGCCTGGCAGCCTTTCTGGCCCCCAAGCCCTGCTCAGACCCCCGCCTATTGCAGGGCCGTGCCAGGTGTGGACACCCCCAGGCTGGATGTATCAAAGCCCCTTCAGCTTAGTGGTTCTCAGAAAGTATCTCATTCACTCCTCTAAATACAGAGGGTGCCCCCCCAAAAAATGTATGTACATTTTAAGAAAGGAGAAAACTGGATTAAAATTGTAACACTCAATATATTCCGATAACAAAAGATGAATACAAGTCACGTGTATACGTTTTTTTGGCACCCCGGTATTTCAAAAGGAGGAAAGCCCCTCTTTCTCAGTTATCCATCCAGTTGCTTTGGAAAAAAACTTTCCCTACTGTTTAAGTAATGTCAACAGAGACTTAAACTTTTTTGGGAGATGATTATTTGTTAACTACCGGCAACTGGCTACATACTGACAAACAGAAAGAAGAAAAATATCGTACCCTGTGCAAAGACAACCCCTGTTAATTTTTAAAATGTAAAATGTGATACAAGTCTAACAACCACTCAGGAAACAGCACACGTCCTACGTGTACATACCGCTCCACGGATTTTTCACAAGATGAACACAGCCGTGCAGTCAGCACCAAGATCAAGAACACGTGACAGTTAACGAATTTCCTGAGCCTTTTTCCTTTGCATCGTTTCTTGTTTGTTTTTACGGAGCCATGCTTATTCTGTAGCCTGCCTTCTAAACGGGGCATGGATTACAACATGAGCATTTCCACATTATTACAAATCCTTTGTCAGCCTCACTTTCAATGAACTGCAGATTCCTCCATTAGGCGAGTGTACATGAGTTCACTTAACTAGCCTCCTTCCGGGGGCATTTGGGTTATTGTTCTTTTTTTTATAAACAACACTGTACTGAACATCTTTGTGCATAAAGCCTTTCCCATAGCTATGCTATTTAGATTCCCAGGAGTGGAATTCCTGGGTCAGAGGCTCCGAGTACTTAGGAACCGAGAGTGTAATGACTCTGTCCTCCGCCTGGTCCTGGGGGAGGAGAATTCCACCCAAGGACCCAGCACAGCTCCAGTAAGACCCTGCTGTGCACCCTTCCTGCGTAGTGCCTGCCTGGTGAAGCCCTCAGGAAACTTTCTACAGTTGTTTATTCCCTTTGGATAACAGGCTAAGAGCCAGTGGCCGGTTGGGGGTCAACTATCAATTATGTATTATAACAAGGGCAGGAATAGCCTGTCGATATAAAAAGAAAGCCAAGGAAAACCCCCAAACCCTTGTTTTGGATGTTGGCTTCCCTTCCGCCCTCCCTGCCCTTCCTGGAGTTGCTGACACTCTGTGGGACCGACGGAGACCCCTTTGCTCCCGCTGGGGGGGGGTTACTGGGCAGCAAGCAAGTCAGTAGGGTGACCCGGTAGGCGGCAGGAGGGAGGAGACGAGTGGCCCCCAGCACAGTTGCTGTCAGAGGGCCCCTCCAGGAAGGAGACCTGATTGTACCTTTGAAGATAGCGATCACCATCTCATCTTTCTTTGGGCTGTCAAGTGACTTTTCTCAGTTACTGAGCCATGGCTTTGGGCCCAGAGCCGAGCAGGGTGAACGAAGCTGTGATCAGAGAGATGTCTATCTCCTTCCTGTTGAACATAGACTTTCCTGTCAGATGAGTCACTTGTGCCCAGATGGTGCCCACGGCTGAGGCTCCGAGAACTCACCAGCGTGGGGGCAAGATTGGGGAGGACGGGAATGTTGGAAGCGGGAGGACCAGCAGGGCTGCTGAGGGGGCAGTCAGCCCTTCCCCCCTTGTTAAATGGCAGTCGCAAATGATCTGCCTCTTGCCAGCCTCAGTTTGACTGAGAGGCCCGTTTTCCTTCCCCACTGAAAGAATTCCCTCTCTTTCTCATCCGTAAATGGATTTGGGACTGATGTGTACCTATGGTCAGCCTCTGGAACAGGGCAAATGAAACTCTCAGTGCTATAAAGGGACACTCTCACGTGTGCCTCAAGTTTCCCTGTTTGTAAACTGGACAGACAAGACATCCCTATGCTCTTGCGGGTGTTTTTGAAACCCCCACCTCTTTGGCGCGTTGTGTAATTCCTGGTGACAAAAAAAAAACAAAAACAGCTGGTGAAATCCATCGTTAACATTCTCTTGACCCGAAAGCGGGGGCTGCCAGGCCACCAGGCCCTGGCCAGCTGTTGGTGTTTTTCCCTGGGCTGCGTCACCATCACTAAACATCTGTGTGGTTTGTCTTTGTGTGTCTGTGTGAAGGTTCAAGAAGCTGTGGAAGCTGCAGGCTCTGAAAGAAGGCGGGGCAAGCATGCACGCGCCCTACTCCCTGGGTCAGCTGGTCCCCGAGAGGCCCAAGCCCACCCCAGTGCTGGTCCCGCTCATCTCCCCGCCAGTGTCTCCCAGCAGCCTCGGGTCGGACAACACATTGAGGCACAGCCAACCAGATGCCAGGGGCCCCCAGAGCCCTTATGACATCAGCAACAGAGATTACTTCTTCCCCAGATAGCCGGCCAGTGGCACCGGGCCGGCGGGGGGTGTCAGACCTGCTTAACTGTGTGAGGGACGCGAGCTGGATTCTCACTGCCATTCTGGCTCATCTCAGGTGCGTGGCGCCTCACCGAAGGCTCCACGCGGGCTGGGCCTGTTCAGAAGGAAGAGGTGGTGGCGTCCTTGAACCAGCCTCCCCCAAACGCCCTGCTTCAGCGGGTAGAAGGAACTCGGGTCCCGAGCGGGGAGCGGCTGTGGAGGCCTCGGACACCCCCGGCTTGGTGGGGACACATCTCTACCAGCTGCTCCCTCAGGAGCTGGGATGGATTTCCAGCCAAAGACCTCCCGTCGCCTATCTCCTGGCCGTCAGCACAGTGTCACCTCTTAGCTCAGACTCTTGAAACCCAAGTGCCTGCACAATCCAGCTGTTCTAGGCCCAAGGGCAGCTTTTCTTCAGCACCCAGACTGAAACCCCAGGCTCTCACTGCCTTTGTTTGCCACCCTTGAACATCAGCTGCAGGGGGGCGGGTGAATAGTATATCTCAGGACCTGCTGGTTTGAAGTGGAATTGTAATTAGTTCCTCATTAACCTGTTGTTAAAATGTGAATGTTAACCTTAGGCGCCTGCTGAATGAACCCTGGAGCCACGGATCCCACGAGAGGAAGGAGGGGTGTGGAGACGGTCTCCACGTTCGTGTAACCGGGCTAAGGGGGACAAAGCCTCTGAAAAACAATATTCTCCATGTCCCCCCACCCCCAAAAGGAGACCTGGCTTGGGAAGGGCCCCCGCCACTGGTGAGATCAAAATGTTTCACTCCGGGTTTGTTTATTTGGTTTTCACCTGAGCCTGAGAAACTAGGGGAGATAATATTTATGTGAAAAGACAAAAGAACCCGGCAAGAATGTATTTTAATTTGGTTTTTAAAGAACTGCTGGCTTTTATCTTGAGAGGGTGGGTGACCCCAGTATTAGCCGAGAAGTCAGTATATAAATAACGGGGTGGGAGGGGACGGAGCACAATCGCTTTGGCACAAGCTGAGTCAAGTGAAAAAGAAGAAGAAAAAATTTTCCCCGGTTAGAGAAGAGATTCTGGCTTCATTCTAAATTTTGTTTTTGTCTTAAGAAGTGAAAAAACTGTCTGCTGCTTCTCTAATTTAGGGGAAAAGCAGCTTGTCATGACTCCCTCCAGACGGTTGTGAAGGAAATGGTGCCCAGCTCCCAGTGGTGACGCTGGAAAGCAGACCTCCCACGACTACCAAGCAGGGTCAGCTGAAAATCCCCACCCTGACAGCTCGGTTATCAGAGGGAGTACATAAAAAAAAAACACAAAAAAAAACACACAAAAAAAACCCCTCACCTTAGTGCCTTCCCCTTTTTATTTTGTTCCTTGAATTTGATTCAGTTCAGCTAGGTTTGAAGCTCCGACCACATGTCTATCCAGGACTCTGCCACTGCCACTAACCACTGCAGTTCACTCTTCTGCCCTGGCTTTGAAAACTCAGTGATGTGAGTGGTTACCCAGATAAGGACCCTCAAGTGTCACGGGGTGTCCCCGAATGAAGCTCTAATTAAGATCAATTGTAACTGCACCCCCCGAAATTGACCAGATCACAAACTTTTCTCGTAGTCCGCCCTTTTAAAAAAACAACCACCAGCCCCAGACAGGTGGCAAAGGATGGAGACGACTGTGTTTTAGTTACTGTTTGCTGGGTTCAAATTGTTACTATCTTGGGCAAGTAGTGATTTTCTCTGGGGGCCTTGTCTGTCGGTTTCAGGCCCCATTGGCTGCTTAAGCAACTTTCAAGTTGACAGAAGTCAGGCAGGTGGTTATTTTTTCTTTCAAGTTTCTTTGAGAACAGCAAAAATGCTGTTAAAGGGAAATATAAAAAAATGAGAATCTGCATGAGAAAGGGTGATTCTGTGCCCCCCCCCACTTCCCCCGGTTCTTTAACTCTTAATAAGGTTTTACCCATGTGTAATATTACCAAAGCCAGGTGGAGATGAGCTGGTGGAAGATGTGAAATTCAGATAGCTCACGGTCTCTGAGAGCTAGGCAGCTTTGATCTCTAAATTGTTATTGCTTTCATTATTATTGTTACGGAACTGCTTTTTTTTTTTTTTTTTGTATTGAAGAGGGTTTTTTTTCCCCTTTTCTTTTTCATAAGCTAGTGTAAATGAAGGAAAGGAAAGGTGTTTGTCCTCTCCGGGTGGCAGGCCTTGCTCAGGTATACGCCCTAAGCCTTCCCTGTCCTCAAATCTATGGTCTGTGACCATGTGTTGCAGTCCACAGGTCATTCTTACCTGTGTTTTTGCAGCTCACGTGCTGCCTTTTATTCTCAACAATGATGTTACTCACCTTATATCTGTAGCAATCTGCCACACAGCCGGATGTGAAATGTTGGGATGGCGACAATTTATGTGAAACATGACAACTTATCCTGCTGGGTGGGAAAAGTTAAAAATAGGCTGGTTCAAGGTCTAAACGAAAGTGGTCATTAACTCTTGTAGCATTAATGAAATGTTTGTTGTTAAGTATCAAGGAGGTAGCATTGGCTTTGTCTACCGAGCCAGTGGGAACTCTGAGAGCCAGCCCTTTGCTGTGATGGAGCCCCGGCCCCTGGCGTTTGCACCCCAGGCTCTGAGCTCACATTGTCTCTGGTTCCCTAGTTCTCGTCCTGTGGGGGATGGGGGACACCATTACAAGGTGTGGAATCTGCTGCTGGAACCCCACCTGGTGGTGAACAGAGCCTGGTGGGGCAGGATGGGAGTGGTCATGGTTTGTGGTTTTCTGCAGAAAGTTCAGGAATGTCTTGCCTGGCCGCTTTGGTGCTAAGCTATATCGCCTCATCTACGGCTGACTCAGTTAGGGAGGAGTCTGGCATTTGGCTCCATGTGGAGTTGATGAGAACTTGATCTTAACTTGAAGAGGCAGGGGCAACCGGTGGTCCTTTAGATGGTGAGCATGGAGTGCAGCTTTTCCATGCAGCCGTGGGCAGTGGGGCTGTGGATGGGAGGCCAGCTGGCTCAGGTTCTGTGCCTGACACTCCTGAGCGACCCCTAAAGGTCCTTCCATCATCGCGTCCTCTGCGTGGTCTGGCACCGGCACGTTTCTATGGCAACCTTAATGATTATTAAGGAACACTGTCAGTTTTATGAACATATGCTCAAACGAAGAACTGTTTAGAAGGGAACAATTGGAACAGCGTGTAGCAAGGCTGTTAATTAGTCGAGAAACCATTTTTGGATGGGGATCACATATCTGTCAAATACAATACCTCAACTTTTAGTTTTTTGGAGAGAAATAATAGTTTTAGGTTTTTTGTTTTTTTTTTTTACCTAATTACCTAAAAGCAAATACCAAAGTCTGATGTCTGTATATGGGGCAAAGGGTCAGTATGGTGTGTTTTTCAATATTTTTTTCTTTGTATCAGTTATTTTGCATTTAAAGTGGAAATTGTAAATGTTTGAAATAAATAATTTCTAAAAATATGCTTGAGATGTAATTATGCTTTGGGCACCTGGGTTATTTAAAGGGAAGATGTGCCTGATTCATGGGGGGGAAAGAGGTGAGGAAAGGTGGGTTTAAAATTAAATAAGACCCGGGACGGCCGAGTGGCGCGATGGTTAACAGCTGGCTTGGGACGCCAGAGGGCCCCGGTTCGGATCCCACATATGAGGGCCAGTGACACTGCCCTCTCCAGCTAAGATGCTGAACAACGGCTCAACCTGGAAGTGGGCTGCTGTGAGTCACCGGTGACGGTGTAGGCTGCAGCCCCTGTGGCAGTGGGTTGCCATGGGATACCGTGTGTAGCCAGCAGCCACAGTGCCTCCACAACTAGACTGAAGAACAAAACGACAGCAACTTGTCTGTCCCCCTTCCCCCAATTCCCCAGCACTGTTCCCATCCCCCCAATTCACCAATAAAAAAAAAATCTTAAAAAAAAAAATTAAATAGGACCCTTTTGGGGTGGGCTTCCCCTTAATGCAGGATGAAATTACCTCCGAAAAAAAATCAGGTAAGTTAAAAAAAAAAAAGTAGCAGTTTCTCAGAAGACACTCATTGTGAAAGCATTTCCCAAAATGAGTCCTGGGGTTTCTGGAAGGGGTGTGGGTGCTCCTGCCACGTTGGCCGTCACTGCCAGCTGATGGGCGTGCGGGGAGACGGAAAGGCCCTCGTTCACCAGAACACTGTTTACTGAACGGGGTTGTTAACGGTATCACAACAGCAAGCACTGCATTCTTTTTTCCTTTTGTTTAAAAAAGATTTTATTGGGGAATTGGGGAAGAGGAACAGCCAAGTTGTTGTCCTTCAGTCTTAGTCGTGGAGGGTGCAGCTAGCTCAGCTCCAAGTCCAGTTGCTATCCGGCCACCTGTCGGCAGCTCGCAGCCGCTCAGCTCAAGGTGCCATGTTCAATTTCAGTTGTGGGGGGTGGGGGAGGTGGCCCACCATCCTATGC